TCGTAGGCTTTCAGTACTGGCTGACCATGTGGCAGTTGATTTTTGCCGTCATGTAACTTCAGTGGGTGTAAAACAAGGTCCTTTCTTTAAACATCGTTACAGCTGATGAGCATCTTTCGCTCAGTATTCATGAGTATTGCACGGTGCGTGCGCGCATACCCGGCTCGGGGTAACGTGGAGGTTTGGGTGCCCAGTTAGGATGGCCTGCGGGCCTCCTTCCACGCATACCCGTCTGGGGGTAACGTGGGGGTTTGGGTGCCCAGTTAGGATGGCCCGCGGGCCTCCTTCCACGCTCACCCGGCTCGGGGTAACGTGGAGGTTTGGGTGCCCAGTTAGGATGGCCCGCAGGCCTCCTTCCACGCTCACCCGGCTCGGGGTAATGTGGAGGTTTGGGTGCCCAGTTAGGATGGCCCGCGGGCCTCCTTCCACGCTCACCCGGCTCGGGCTCAGCCCGCCCGGGCCCTTCCCCTCCGGGAGGAGCGCTCGCGGCCTCAGGTGTCGCTGCTGGAACGCTGCTGATGGCCGGGAGCTCACCAGTGTGACAGTCAGCAGCCCGTGGAGCTGCCCTTTCACCCTGGCCTTGGTTTTCAGTGTCTGTGAGGGCAGGTTTCTGTTAAATAGGCTTATTTGTGTAAACTGTAACCTCATCATAAAACCTTAGAAACTGTAATTTATGTGGCTATAAAAACACATGGCTTCCCGACCAGTAACTAACCCCCGGTTCCTTCGCCTAAGCCCATGCTTCTCATTCCAGAAAGCGGGGAACGGGTTTCTGATGCTTTTTCCTTCCCTGTCCCCTTTCTTCTTTTAAAGAAATGCAGCCGCATTTCTTCAGGAACATCGTTCTGACGGGCGGGAACTCCCTGTTCCCAGGCTTTAGGGACCGCGTCTACTCGGAGGTCCGGTGCCTCACTCCCACCGATTACGACGTCTCCGTGGTGCTGCCCGAGAAGTGAGTGCCGCCCCGCGCGCCGCGTCTGCCCTGAAGCGCACTGTCCGGAGCAGCCAGGGCCACCCCTGGCTGCCGCGCAGCCTCACCTCACCGTTGGGATCCTCTCCTTCCGTTCCTCAGAAACGGACGTGCTGGCCTTCCGTTTCAGGGGTCCAGCGGGGTGGCGTATGTGAAGCGTGTCCACACCATGGTTTATGATGGGGGCCCTTCCCTACAGTCAGTCCTCGTTCCTAAGATGGCACAGGCCAAGCACTTAGGTTACCATCTGCTTGCCTTACCTGAGGTGCGTCATTTCCTGAGTTTCTACATATTTCAGCCCTGGCTGGCTCAGTGGTTAGAGCATCAGCCTGCGGGCTGAAGGGTCCCTGGTTCATTCCGGCCCAGGCACGTGCCTAGGCTCCCCCTGGTAGGGGCTCGAGCGGGAGGCAACCAGTCGATGTGTCTCTCACATCAACGTTTCTCTCTCTCTCTCCCTCTCCTTCCCACTCTGAAAAAGCGATGGAAAAAATATCCTCAGGTGAGGATTTAAAAAAACAAAGAAGGAATTTAAGAATTGACCATTAAGATAAGCTATGTCAATTCTTAGGTTGTTTTGGAATTTTTAAAGATAATTTAAAATATTTTAAAGTAACTTTTACATTTAACTAGTTTTGCTTGAATTCAAAACTGTTTTATATGTGTCCTATATGTATCCCACTGTCCTGTTTTATGAGGAAAAGCAGATATTTCCACCTTGGTGAAAAAATTAAGGTAGAATTTTAGAGCTGTAAGAAAGGCTTAAACATCATCCTGTTCAACGTGCTTACTTTGTAAATTATGAAACAAGGGCTCATGAGTTGATAGCAGTGACCAGACCAAAACCTAGTTCTCTTTACCTTGAGGCAGGAACTCTTACCAAATATATGTCTAAATAACTGCTCCCTTCCAAGTCTTACGTGGCAGAGCTGCAAACAAGACCCCACGTATCTGAGTTAATTTTAGAGTTTTGTTTTAAAGCTAAAGTGGAATTTTTCAAAATCTATAGCAGTTAAGAGAAAGGCCCTCATCTTATCACTTAATTTTATGGCTATGAGATAAAAGAATAAAACAATTAAATATTGAAATGACTTTTATTAGCATTAATGTTACTAAACTCTGTGTAGAGTAGGAAGCATATTGGATTTTTATCCTGCATTTTAAATGTAAGTTGTGCGCACATTACAGGCCAAGGGATGCACAGAAAGTTTTATTCTTCGTTCATCAAATTTCACATCTACTGCTCATATATTTATATATATACTTATATATATACACACACACACACATATGTATATGTGTGTGTGTGTGTGTGTGTGTGTGTATATTCTCCCCATGGTTAGGAAATGCAGTAAACACAGTAAGGAAAATGTTTAAATTTTTCTTTTTAATTTTTTAGATTTGAACCTGAATTGGGGATAGAGGAACAGTAGAAGTAGAATTGAGTCATAACACAAAGTGAATAACCCTTGCTTGTAAATAAAGCCAAACTAAATGTATAATGTGCCTTTTACTTATTGCCCGTGTCCTACCATGTAACTCTCATGTACTGTGTTTACTAAATGTCTCATTTATTAGAGGCCACAAAGTATAGCAGCAAAAGCACAGACTGTGTGATAGTGGTTCCAGGTTGAATCTAGTTCCAGACTTAATCTCTCTGTACCTCATTTTTCAAATCTATAAAATAGGAGTTACAGTAGCTATGTAGTGGGTTGCTGTGTGGTGACGTGTCTTTGTTACATACAGAGTTAGACTCAGTCATGAGAGTGTTTTTCATTTATGCATTTTTAATCTTTTGCTTGTATTCTTGTTACTAGAATTCAGGGCACAGGGAAAGAACCAAATGAACAGTTACTTGTAGTGTTGACCAAGGTGCCTTTCTTTGTGAGTTTGCTTTAGTCCTATGAAATTTATGCTTATTTTCACACTTTAAATGATTTTCTGTTGGGTAGAGATTGCTACATTTTAGTTACTAGTGTTTTTGGCTTTTTTGTTCTATAAGATCATCGGGACTCATTTATTTTACCTTTATTTTTAGCCCGATTACTTATGCCTGGGAAGGTGGAAAACTGATATCAGAGAATGATGATTTTGAAGATATGGTGGTAACAAGAGAAGATTATGAAGAAAATGGACATAGCGTCTGTGAAGAGAAATTTGATATTTAAGAAACATTTCTGAGTGAAAGTTTTGACTGGTTGCAACAAAGGTTTAATTTAAATGTTCTTTTTAAGGGAGGTTAAGGACCTGTGCTACCTTTTATCTTCAGATAAAGACTTGAACTTATGTAAATACTTTGATCCACGGCCAATTTTCAAAGGTTTCTCAGCTAGGTTACTAAGTAAACTGTAACTCAGCCCATATTTTCATTTAGGAGCTAGACTACTGTAACAGTGCTTACGCTGTTTCTGAGAGTAGGTCATCTTACATTAGAAGATGAAAGTGAATGCATTTTAAGTTAATTCTTCATAGCTGAAAGCAGAAACTTAACTGTCTCACAGGTCAGTTTTCCTTAGAAGGAATTTTTGTGTGACTGTGACCAGGAATTGGCCAAAGTGTTTTCAGTCTGGTATGACTTCTCTCTCTTATAGAACCATGTATTTTACTTTAAAGTTGTCATTTTTATTTGTGTATACTAAAGTTGGAAAGGTCAATCTACGTGTGTTTAATGTTTAGTTTTTACGTAGAGTAAGTTTGAAAGGGTGGAGACTAAAGCCAATTTACTAAAGTGTTTTTGATCACTACTGTGTTGGTGGAAATGTATTATTTCATTCATAAAAATACTGCACCATTTTTGGGATGAAAATAAATTTGAAGTTAACTTGGGGTTGTTCAAAAACTTGATACAAATATTAGTATTTAGTTTTAAAAACTCATATAATCTACAGTAAGCATATTAAGGTGTTAAAGGCTATAGCTTTCCAATGGAAGGAAACCGCTTACAGTGACATTAACAAATGGGTCAGGTAGGCTTCTTTGATGGCAAGCAGGAGAAACTCATTAGGGTGATCCTAAGCAAAAGAAAACATCAGCAGGACAGAGGACAGCTCATAAATCTAACGAAAAGCTTGACCAACAACCTTCAGAATAAAAACCAGATAACTTTAGGCATCTAGGTTATAGAAGCTAAGGGACAATCCTTATAGAACCCTGTCACTAAAATATCTCAGCTTCTGTATTTTCTGTCCTTAGCCTTGTGTTCATGAATCAAATTCCTACCGGTCTCTTTTCCCAAGTTAGGATGATGCGCCTATCCCATGGCTTCAGGGACTTTAACAGTCCTACTCCAGGGCCTAGAGTGAGAGAAGGAAGTTTCCCAAAGGCAAATTAAGGTGAAGAGAGGGATGCTGGGCAGGGTGAAAGAGCTGCGTACTACAGGTATATATTGGATTGGATTGGGTTAGGGCCAGGTCAATCCTTCCTAGACCTAGGCCAGGTATCATTACAGAGTTGCAAATGGAGTGTTTGTCTGATACGCAGTTACTAACATATAATTTGTGGACATATAATTTGTAGCAAAAAAATGCTGGTGGCTTAAGAGACGTTTTTGCAACTGTACAGTGTAACGAAGCTAGAATTTCAAGGTGATGTGGTTGGAGTAAAAAGAAAAGCCCCCATCTAAAGGGCTTTCCTTGACTTGTCAGGCTCTCATGTTGGACAGGCTGACTGTTGTCATTACCAACCTGGTGTTTTTGCTGTAAGGAACTGGGGCAGTCCTCAAAGTTGCGTTCCCAAAACATGCCATCTCCTCTGAAGTCTTCTGTTATGTTCTACTGAGAATGATGCATGTGTTCACATCCTTACTACAGTAGACTGTTATTTCTGTATAGAGTGTAGGTCTCATAGTGCTCATTTTTGAGATCATAAAAGTTCATTACTTTTTTTTTTCTTCAATGTATCTTTATTGATTTCAGAGAGAGAAGGAGAGGAAGAGTGAGATAGAAACATCAGTGATGAGAGAGTCATTGATCAGCTGCCTCCTGCACGCCCCCGACTGGGGATGGAGCCCACAACCTGGGCATGTGCCCTGACCGGGAATCGAACCCTGATCACCTGGATCCTAGGTCAGTGCTCAACCGCTGAGCCACGCCTGGCCGCGCAAAATTCATTACTTTTTTAAAAAAAAGAGTTACTGATTTTTAGAGAGGGATAGGGAGAGAAAAATTGATGTGAGAGTGAAACATCGATCGGCTGCCTCCTGCATGGCCCCTACTGGGGATCAAGCTCGTAAACCCTAATCTGGGCATGTGCCCTGACCCAAATCCAACCAGCAACCTTTCTGTGCACGGGACAATGCCTAACCAACTTAGTCACACCGGACAGGGCTCATTTCTTAAATTAATGAACATAGAGCCTAATCCTGTATCTGTAGCATCAAAGCTCCCATGCATTTCAACACCTTTATTTTGAAAACTTTATTGCTAGAGGTAATGTTTTACTACTATACAATAAGTTGACTTCAAGGAGAACATTTAACCTTAGCTCTGAATAATAACATTGTCTGAGATGATACATTAAAGGTCTCTATTATTATGGGGGGGGGAATACATTTTTTTAAGCCGAGGGCAAAAGAAAAACAAGTTGACCTTAAGTTTGAGATTTATCAGAAGTAGAGAGAGAACTTAGCCACAATAGACTTTATCATTTTTATTGTAATTTGCATGCACTGAAATAACATGTTCCAGTATTGGCCATGCATAATATACGCCTTAAGACAGCAGAGGATTAGGGTTTACAGCAGTGAGTGATCAAGACAACCGTCCTCTCCAGCACTTTTCTATCTTGGTTTTGAGTTTTTTGATTCAGTGGCGATTGGCCTGACATAGTCTGCTGATCCCATTCCCCTCCTCTGCCTGTCCCAGACCCCTTTACATGTTAAGTATCCCCAGTGGGGAAGGGAGGTGAAGGAGATCAGGGAGGGACACACGGAACACATAAGTGCTACTTGTGACATATCCTTTCTCAAGCTGGCTGGCAGGTGTTTATTGCATTAGAATCTGTACTTTACTGTGTACGTGGAACAGTTCGCATATCTTATGACAAGAGTAAATCCTGAAATGACTAGGAAACAAAAAGAGTGCTGTTAATGAACAAACGTGGAGGAATTTCTAAAATGGAAAACTAATCAGATTAAATGGTTAGAGAAACAAGGACAAGAAAACCCACATCCCAGCTCAGGACAGGAGAAGACTACTAAAGAGGTAGGAATAATTCCAGAGGTCTTTTAACTTAGGACAGATACAGAGAGTAGATCATGGGCAAGCCATGAAAAGAATGAATTGGAAACAGTTGAGCCCTACTCCCTTTCTTGGAGTTGAGGCTTGAAGTAAGAGTAGAAGTGTTGAGTTGGAGAGAAACAGAACTTGAAATGATGTCATAGCCACTAAGAGCATCAGAATTTAAAAATATACATATATGGGAACAGCGGATGGTGGCGCTGATCTTTGGCTGAAGACACAAGCTCAGACCGTATTAGAAGGAACCCTGACTCGGCAGGGCCCTGGACTCAGCACACCGTCCTCCTGCTAAGGAAGGCACCCTAATTAGAACTGAGGTTCACCAACAGGGAAACAGGAATTCATAAATGAGAAAACAGACCCAAGCACTGAACATTCGAGGGGTGCTTAACACCACCAGAGAGGCACCCAATCCAACAAACAAGAATGAACCCCTGGGCAAAAAAATAAGCGAAAGAAACTTTATAAGTAATATTCTCTGAGAGACTGGTGAGGGAATTGCATCTATTACATTAAGAACAGGCTGCTGTAACTAAGATCTTAGAAATTAAAATTAGGAATTACTTATGCTTAATCAATGGGTTGAATAGCACAAGACACTACTAAAGACTGAAAAACAAAGAAGCTGAGGGAATTCTCCCAGAATGTAGCACAACTGGGCAAGGACTGGGATGGCTGGGGAAAGAGGCTAATATCCAGAGTGTAGGCCGGGGTGGGGAACCTTGTTTCCGCCAAGGGCCATCTGGATAGTTGTATCATTCTCGGGCCATACAAAATTACCCACTTAAAAATTAGCCTCCTGTATTTGCTCAAACATTTAATTAACGCACCCCTAATGTGATGGCTGGAACTGCTTCTCTTTGGTGAGGACTTGGTATGGGTTCTGCTGTCCACCTAGAGCCTTCCCCACACGAGGACTCTGATGAGCTTTCACACGACCCAAATATCTTTGCACCTGGGGCCTATTCTGAGCTGTCCGTTCACATGCTTCTTTCCTGAAGCTTCTAGTTCCCAGGTTTCCTGTCTTTAGTTTTCAAGTCTCAGATCCTCCGGTCAACCCGTTAGCCATCATTTCCAGCCCTACCTTCAGGCAAACTGAACGGGAAGCGCTGCGCTCGGCTCTGCCGTGGTCGGTTCCCTTGCCCACAGCGGCGGGCCACGGTGGGGTGGGGGCGGAACGTGCAAGCTCGGACTCGGGCCGGACAAGGCAAGTGCGTGAGTGCGCTGAGTATTGACTGCACTGCTTGCCTGCCTTCAACCCACATCTGTGACCTCACGGAGGTTCCCTAATACCAAAGAGGACATTCACACCTGGTTTACAGGTGGTCTGCAGGACACGGCTGGCACTGGCCAGAAGTGGAGCGCTGGCATAGGTCAAATGCTGAATCACACACCTGGGAGGGGATCACTCACGCGACAGAGTTGCCTAACAGTGTCACTGATGACAGTTGTTAAGTGACAGAGTTGGAGCTACTCCACCAACTTTCTGGTTTTTATGTTAAAAAATCTTTCTAGCTGGCCGGCTGGGCTTGGCTTGGCGGTTGAGCGTCGACCTAGGATTCAGGCGATTGGGGTTCGATTCCCAGTCGGGGGGCACATGCCCGGGTTGCGGGCTTGATCCCCAGTCGGGCGCTTATAGGAGGCGGCCGGTCAATGACTCTCTCATCATTGATGTTTCTATCTCTCCCTCTCCTTTCCTCTCTCTGAAATCAATAAAAATATATTAAAAAAAAAAAAAAATCTTTCTAGCACACAAGCAATTGCATAGTAAAAGCACCCCAAAATCCACTTGTAGAGAGTACAGGGGGGAAAGATTTCCAGAAAAACAAGGTCTCAAGAATGGCTTTCAATCTGGAACATTATGTATACAAATTATATGAGAGAACAGTTTTGTCTCAAGTTATTTTTTTAAGTTAGAGAATCTTTTGTTTACCTGGACAGTACCTGAGAATGTGAATGAGTAGTTTAAGCAGTCTGAAGCACTATGAATCAGGCTGTTAATTCTCCTGAATATTCTATCAGGAGGTAAGCTTTATAGTGATTGGAGCTGGATTTTATTTATACAGGGAAAAAATACACATAAGTCCTTCAACTGGTTTGGCCTAAAATTGAATGACAATACCCTTGGGAATTCTATTTAAGCCTAATAACTGTAATTTATGGAGTTGTCACTAGGTGGAGTGGCACTTCTGAGTTAGAAATTAATGCCTCAACCTTCAAAAACCATTCAGTAAAAGACATTTTTTCTTTGTAAACAAGATTAACTGAATAGTGGTATATATGTTGATAAAAAATAAGCCCCATTAGGAAATGTTATAGGATTCAATTTAACAATCATTTCAAGCACTGCTGAACGACTAACTTCTAGTAATTCTATTTCTGAATTGGATTTTACCTTAATCTAGGTCATTCACTTCTGATATTTTCCCTTCTGAACCCAACAGGCCGCGAGTAAATCCAGGCCCTGGACCCCGGGGCCCACCCCTTACTGTCTACCACGCCACGTGCTCTTCGTGCCGCTGATATTTCCGGTCCAGTCTTATAAATACAAACCTAGGCATGTATGTTTTTATTCTGGAGATTAAAGCCAAAACTGAGGCTCAGAGGGAAGATGTTTACTTAAGGTTATATATAATCTAACCATCAGATCCAGGGACATGGTAATATACTTAATGTACTTCTCAAAGTGCCAGCCATTCACCCGACTTACACAGAACATTAAAATGGAAATTTTCCTAATAAGAGAACCCCCCCCCCCTTCCAATTAACAGGGAGGGAGGAAAGAAGAAAGTCAAAATACTCTATGGACTAAAGAATTAGAGAAGGCAAAATCATGGTTTTAGATGTTCATGAATTTTAAACGTGTGACTTTTAAAATCTGCTTTCTAAGTCTTACCCTATTTAGTCTTACCCTAAGTCTCACAGTGGTTAAGTAATAGTAGCCTAAGGGGGTGGCTTAAAAATAAGACACGCTAAGGAAAGTGCATGTTCTCTTCAGAGAATTCATGTATGAAATGTTCCTTTCCTGTGGGGGAAAAAAATCTAAAGCTATTACATGTCCCAGATCTCTAACAGCACATTTAATACATGACTTTAGCAGCATAATAATTAAGTAAATCAGCAAACATGAATTTAACTTATATTCCCTTTTAAGGTTAAAAACCTAACACTTTTAAAAATATTTCTCTTTGCAACTTTCAAATATATAATTATTATTAACTATAGTTGCCACATTGTACATTACATCCCCAGGACTTACTTTGTAACTGGAAGTTTGTATCTCTGACCACCCCTCCTAACGTTTTAACCACGACAACACTTACAGTGCTTGGGGGCTCTCCTGTCTCTGAGGTGTCAGTATGGTAGTTTGAGAAAACCCCAAGATTTGTTTACATTTACAAGCTGTGGTTTTCTTTCTAAATTGAATGTATTTCGGTGTCATTGGTTAATAGGGTCATATAGGTTTCAAATGTACATTTCTATGATAAATGATCTGTTTGCTGCCCGAGAAATGTTTTTGTGTTTTTGTTGCTGTTAACCCTCACCCAAGGATATTTTTCCCATTGATTTTTAGAGAGTGGAAGAGAGAGAGAGGAACATCGATTGGTTGCCTCCTGCATGTGTCCCTGGGGGCTGGGGATCAAACCTGCAACCCAGGTACGTGCCCTTGATCAGGACTCAAACCCGAGACCCTTCGGCATGTGGGCTGATGCTCTAACCACTGAACACACTGGCCAGGGCTCTGCCACATGTCAGTGCAAAGCTTCTGGATGGTGTTTTTCAAATTCCTTAATTAATTTCTTTTTTTGTTTCAAAGAGATGTTGGAGTTACTATTAATCTCAAGAGCCAACTGGTGAAGACATTGAATTGTCCTTTCCTTGTGTTTTTCAAATTCCTTGTATGTCAGGCGTTGGCAAAATGTGAAGCCTTAAAAAAAAAAAGTACAATAGGAAAAGCAAGTTAAAAAAACAAAAAACGTAAAAACAAAAAGGTACTTACCCAAACTGGCCTTATGCTAGACTTATTTTTTCCAAAATACAGTAGGCCATTATACTTACTATTCTCATACTTGCTTTGCTTCAGAGTTTCTTTACAAGTGCTCCATACTTAGCAAAACACTATCTTATCTCACATGCATTGTTTTATTTGATCTCCAAACCCCATGCACTGTAAGGGAAGCGAGGGACACGCCCTGAACTTCAAAGCTGCCCGTCCAGCTTCCCTGCTGAAAATCTCGACCAGGATGTCCCACAGGTGTCAAAAGACCAAAACAGATTCAATCATCTCCCCGAACATGTTCCTTTCCGTGTTTTTCCGTCTGAATTGGTGGCAGTCACCCCACCTGGAACCTTGCGAGTCACCTCCGAGTCACCTTTGTCTCTCAAGCCTGTTCCCTCCTCCCTCTTGCCTCTGCCGCATGACAGGCCTACATCATTTCTCACCTGGACTGCAGTCGTCTCCTAATTAAGAATCACCTCCCGTCCCCGTCACCCTTTTCCCCACACTGTGGCTAAGCATGCTCTGTCTAAAATGTAAATCTGGTGTCTCTCTCTCTCTCTCTCCTCACCCGAGGATATTTTTTCCATGGCTTTTCAGAGTGGAAGGGGGAGAGAGAGAGAGAGAGAGAGAGAGAGAGACATCAATGTGAAAGAGAGACATCGGTTGGTTGCTTCCTGCATGTGCCCCGACCAGGGCCAGAGATTGCGCCTGCAACTGAGGTTTGTGCTTTTGGCCGAAATCGAACCTGGGACCCTTCAGTCTGCAGGCCGACGCTCTAACCACTGAGCAAAACTGGCTAGGGCTCGCTATATCCCTTTCTTAAAAATGACTTTCAGTGTCTTCCAGCTGCCTAGTGAATTCCTCAGTTGCTAAATAAGGCCCTTCATGATCTGACATCTATTTCTCTGGTTTCAATTCCTGGCAACCCCTTGGCTGCAGTTTCTAGCACTTACCCCTTGGCTGCAGTTTCTAGAATATTGCTCACGATGTTCCTCTTCCCAGAATATCCTTCCCTTCACTGCTTTTTTGGTTTAGCTAACACTAATTCTTTAAGATTCCTACTAGGAATTATCACCTCCACAAGCCTAGTCTGATCCCCTCAAATGAGATCAGGTAATTCTCCCCCTCTGGCTTGAACATCTATATCCCTATTATATTTTATGATGACTGCTTTAGAATGGTGGTCTCTCTCATACATCAGTTCTTTCACTGACTTTTTTCACCAAATATCTATTAGTCATGTATGTGCCAGTCACTCTGAGCACTGAAACATGAGCTTTTTGTAAGCAGAGGCATTATCCTACACGTCTCAGTATTTTTGGTGCTTAAACAAAGTCTAACACATAGTAAATATTCCAAAAATGTTTGGTGAATGAACAATGGATGAGTATTTGGTATCAGAAGCATTTTATATCAACAGGTGAATTTCAAGTATTCAACTGCTTGATAATTCAAGTTTGGGGAAAAGAGCATACACCACAGAACATACAGATGAGTTTTTAAAAATTCATTAAGTTGTACATTGATACAGTGTGACAATTTTACTGAATGAGGGATAAACTTCAAGAAGAGACAGTAGTTAAGCTATTCAGGGAAAAATTTCAGGTAACTCTTCACTTCCCAAGTGCTTATAGCACAAGGTGCTGCAAAGCACTTACATCATTATCTCTCTTTAAAACATCTTGTTGAATGAATGTTGAATGGAAATAAATATTAAAATGCCTACAATCCCTCTATTTCCCTCAAAAGCCAAAAGCAATAAAGAACTGAATGTGGAAAGCTAATACAGTAATGGCAGCCAAATGAAGTTTGTTTTGAAGTTAGTCAGACGAGATCTAATTAATCCGAAAAGATTCCTGATATGAGGTTCAGAATACTCAGCATCATTGTTTAATTGCATCAAAACAGACAGAATGCAGGTAGTAACACATCTGTTGCCATATGCTGTGTTCAAAGAAGGGCACGAGAGAAAATAGCTGAGAAATTCCAAGTAATCCAGGCAAATAAATGTACGCCCTACTCTATGGATGTTTTTCTAAAAATTAATAATGCCTTACAAACTTTTTTTAGAGAAAAAAATGTTACCCACTTTTCTAGTTGGCCAAGTTACTGAAGCTCTTTAAGCTTCAGTTACCTTACGTATAAAAGGGGGTAATAATACCTACATAGATTATTGTATGGGATAGTTTCATAAAGCCATGTTAGTGCTCAGCACAGTGTCTGACACATAGTAGGGCTCAATATTAGTGTCAACTAATATTAAACACTAATAGTATTTAATATTGATAATATTTATAATTTATACTATACTATTAATATAAATATTACATATTTAACAACTACCCTATGAAGTAGTTGCTATTATTATTCCCATTTTGTAGGGGAGGAAGCTGAGGCAATAAGAGGTTACATGACTTGCCCAGGCAATTTGGCCCTGGCATCCACGGTAATGTCAATTATGCTATTTTGTCTCTCACATGACGATCTTAGGAAATTTGTATTCAAACTGTTTTATAGTTACAAGAAATCCTAAATTAAGGAATCAGATCAACTACCACAAGACACTGAGTGAAAAAAAAATCATGGAGCCTATTCACCTGTGGGTCAGGCTCCTCCTTTGTAACACCGGGTCATTTCCTAAGGGGGGGG